TGTCAATGCATGGCCGATGTGGTATTCTAACATCGTCCTTAGTTCGATTGGAGAGCGAGACAAGGTATGTGCTCATGGAAATTTATATGTATGCATATTTTATGATTGAATGGAGTTAAGACATAATGACCGATGTCATTGAATACATGTTGCATAGACCAATTCATAGTTGCGGAAATGGTGAGTGGGCTTATGCTCTGATTTAATATATATGATTTGGCCTACAAATATTTCTAGTCTATGAGAGACCAAATCATTGTTGGTTTCATTATTGAGCATCGGATTTATGACATGCATATTATTGATATTAGCCTTGTCTCTCTAGTACTATGGAGATTATGTTTTGATGGTTGAATTCATAATAGCCAAGGTGTTGATGTTGTTTATATATCTCCTTATGGTGCAATTTTGTGAAGCCTCATGCCACTTAGAATATTTTTTGCATAATTAATCAAAGCCGAATATGCATTGTTATTCGGATTGAACCTTTTACATGCTATACGTGTGATATATATTGAGGCTTTCGGTGATTCATTATGAGTAGTGCAATAAATATCCAAGAGTTATCAATGTTTTAACAAATCACCTATAGTTTATCTTGAGGTATGTCTAGATACAAAATTTACCTTGGGTTGCTTTAAAATTGTTCATATGTCTAGACATGACAATTTGAGAGAGTTGGCACAGCAAGCATCCGGCTACTATATTAATCATGGTGTATTGCATTTCAATCAATAGCCGATGCTTAGTCTCGTTGACAGAGGTAAGGCCGAACCGAAGTCCACCGCTTCGGCCACTAATGAATTTTTTATGCAGCCGAAAGTCAGGATTGAAGAAAGTTTATTGTTGATTATTTGCAAAATCCTAGCAAAAGGGTGAACAATATGGTTCGGAGGATGACCTTGAGATACATATATATGGAACTTTATCATCGGATTGTTAATGAAGTTGAGAAGGTTTCACCCAAGTTTGCATCAAGGATTCAAACAAATAATGGCTGATATATATTTATCGCCCTAAGCACATGCAAAGTGGCCAATGGAGTGTTGACATCGTCCTTAGAACCAACACGGTACAAGTTATTTTTCGGCACACTAGTTTTGCCGAAAAATAGGGGGCATGTGTTGACGCTCGACAATGGCATGATCGCAAAAAATGACTTGAGTCTGTAGCAAGATAAGGTCAAATTCATGACTTCATGTCACCATTGGATGGCTCTCTTCAAGCTGGTCAAAATAGATATAGAGATGGTCCAAAACGGAGCTCGGATGCAAAAGTTATGACAATTTTAGAGATGCTCGTATTGACGTCAGATTAAAGAATGGCATGAAACCTAATTAAGATGACCTCAGATGGAAAAAGTTAAAACAGCAAAGTTCTTCGTCTTGTTGATACGAACGATTTTGATATAAAAATCGCTTCCATACGAAGTCGTATGAGAGTTCTACAGCCAAAACTATGCGCCGCAGCACTGCATGGCCGAATCATCCGGACCGGGGTCCAGATCATCCGGCCGAGGGCCGAACAAATAACCCAAAGAACATAAGCATAAAGATAAAGCCATGATCTGGGTGTAGCCCCGGATGATGCGGGTAGAATCGGGACGATCCGGACAAAGACTGGACGTCCGAACAACTTTTTCAACTGCAGACTTTATGAAACATCCCGAGACACCCTCAAGATGACCTCAAATCGAAAAGTGTTCAGCGACAAAGTTGTGCGCCTCGTCGAAACGGTTGATTTTGATATAAAAATCATCTTAATACAAGTTTTTATGAAAAGTTACAACCCGATTAGTGGACTGATGTCAGAAATCTAGCTTTGGCCGGATCATCCGGGCCTAGAGCCGGATCATCCGGGCCTAGAGCCGGACATCCGGGTCGGAGGTCGCAGAAATCTGGGTTTGCCCGCATCATCCGGGCCTAGAGCCGGACATCCGAGCTGGAGGTCATGAGAAGTCCGAATTTGGTTAGATTTTGATGATTTGGACGGCAAGGCAAGTCATTTTCTTGTACGGGAAGTCAATCCGCCTCTTATATAGATAAGAGGTGACGGCCGATTGAACAACACACAATAGACAAAATCATCTACCACTTTTTATCTTTTACCTTCTCCCTTGTTCTTCTTCTTCCTCGTTCGTCATTCGTGCTTCTTGTTGCAGGGCGCCGAACCTCGAGTTCCTAGGGGCGATCAGGTCGACCTAGGGCAGCCCATAGCCGCCGCACGCCCTGACGGGGTCCCTCCCGGGCGTGTGGGGATTTCGGATCCTCAAAAGCATCTGTTGGTTGTCCTGCGTATCGCGCTGCCGGTCGGGTATCCTTCGACGTGAGCTGCGGTGTATCACCCCTGGCATCGAGGGTACACGGTGACATGTTCGTGTGCAAACAATAGTTTGTTAGTAGCATGATCAGACTTGATTTTTAGGTTTTCGTGAACACAAGTAATAAAAGGTAAAATGATGATCTGTTTTCACCCGCAAAAAAATAATGATAATCTGTTTTGGGCGAATATGTTGATCCTGCCTGGCTATAGTAAAAATCATTGTTTCATCTGGAGGGTGGCTTACACTAATCTGCCAACTCTCGGTTGAAAATTCGGAGTGGAATGGAGGATGCAGATGTGTGCGGAAGGGTGAACGAGGGTGGTGGTACAACACTGATATAAGAGTCTAATTGTATGTTTGTAGTGGAATTGGTTCACCTGATGGATGCATATTTTGGACCAGACGTAGCCCTTATTGCTGAGTGTAAGCAACTGTCGCTGGACTCTGCGAACATTAAACCCATTAAGGCGCTAGAATGATGGACAACCAGCTACGCCATGTGGCGCATGCTGGTTAGTCACGGTCAATTTTTTTTTAAATGGTAGTGAGACTTTTTTGGGAAAAAAGATTTTTTAGGCTTTTTCTTTATCCTTTTAAGATGGTTGTGATGTTCACGTGACGCGAGAATTTTTTTTTTTGACATAATGATGAGGCATGCATGCTTTCTCTCAAGCAGCCCGCAATGGCGGGCCCCAATCACTAGTCTCCTTTATGCATTGCTTTTGGGAGGCTAATCAGGCGGCTGCTGATGACATAGCTAGGCACTCTTTTAGCTCTAGCAACTCCGGTACTTGGGATACTGAGATCCCTGACTTTATTTCTCACCTTTTTTGTAAATAATATGATAATCATATGAGAAATAAAGTCTATTTCCGCTCCCTCCTGCTAGGGTTTCCACCGCCGCTCCCAAAAGGTCCCGACCCGCTCCCTCCCGCTAGGGTTTCCGCCGCCGCCCTAGCCCCCTCCCGCCGCCACAGGCCGTCGGCGCGCGCGCCCCGGCCCTTCTCGCCCCCCTCTTCCCCTTCCCCCTCCTGTTCCCGCCCCTGCGCCACCTCCCCGGGAGGTGGCCGGGGCGGCGCGCCCCCTCCCCTTCCTCGCGGACCCCCTCTGTTGGATCTCCCCCGCCGCCGCCGGCGGATGCCCCAGGTGCTGGCCCGGGTGGTGCCGGCAGCGACGGGCCCTTCTGTCCCCGCGTGCTCGTCCCCTTCCCGGGGCAGGTGACGACAGCGGTGCTGCTCGGCTGGGCGGCGGCCCGGCGACTCGGCGGCGGTTGCTGAAGGTGGGCGAGGCGGCGGTGTTGCGCTTGGTGGCAGGGCGGCGTGGTGACGTGCGGTGGCCGGCGGTGTGCCCCCGGTCCAGATCTGGGCCCTCCCGGCCCCATCTGGGTCCTAGCGGGCTGGCCATTGGCATGGCTTCAACGTCCTCTACGTGGCGCAGAGGAGGAGCGACTCGGACTCGAGGTGGTGGCGCCGACGGCATGCCTTCTGCAGCGTGAAGGCGGTAGCTTTACGGGCATCGACGGACCCGGACAGACCTGTGGGCCCACGGGACCGGTATGCTCCTGCTGTCACGCCCGGTCGGTTACCGTCGTTGACGGTGGCGGTTGGGCCCTCCCGCGTGCCGACGATGCTGCTGTCCCGAGTCCCGGCTCCTCTTCTTCGTTGAGCAGGCCCCTTTTGCGGTGCCGTGGTGAGACGGCGCGGAAGCTTCAAGACCGTTTTGGCGCAGAGTGGTGGTTTGTTTGGTGGCGTGCTCCGGATCGCCCGAGGTGAAGGTTGGGATCGGTAGAAATCCATGTCGGCCGAGCCGACTCCGAGGCGGTGGTGCCTGACGAAGCCACCGAACCTTCCTGGAGGGCGTCGGAGGTACCCTTTCTCTCTCCTCGTCGTGTACCGGGGGAAACCCTTGGCAGCAGCATCGTCATCGTCGCATCCCTTCTTGGAGGTGTTGATTGGTACCGGCGCTCCGGAGTATAGGAGCTTAGTGGAGGATCCCAGTGGGCGCGGCGGTCGCGAAGCTTCTTCGTTTTTTTGTTGATCCACCGGTGTCGGCTTTTGTTTCTTTTCTTTTTCTCTTTCGTTTCTTTTGGGCGTGCATGTGCTGCTTTCGCCCCAGCACCGGTTGTATCGGTGATGTTTGCTTTGTAATACAAAGCGGGAGGAAACCCTATTTCGTCAAATAAAGTCTATTTTCTGTCAAAAAAACAAGGGTGGTGGTTCCTAAAATGGAAGTATGTAAGGAAATGTTGGCAAGCGGTGCTCCTTGAGAATCAATGCGGCACAACAAAATAAATAGCTCAGCGAATCAAATTATAATATGAAAACTAAAATTGCCCGTGTTTCTTTGAGTTTGGTGGTCTATCCGCATCAAAGTGCAGGTGACCTGAGGAGCAAATTTTTGTTTTGCAGTACTGATTCTGAACCAAATATAGATCCATTAACTACCTCTTTTATTTTCTTTAAGTTCGCCTTATATCTAATAGTGCAAGTACACTTCATTATTCCCACAAAAAAAGAAGTAAATATGTGTTTCCCACATATACAAATATCAAACTCATCAAGCTCCTTAGACGCAATGACATATGTGAATATATATGTGTTTCCCACACAGACAAATGTCAAACTCATCAGCTCCTTGGTGGCAAATACATATATTAATAGACTTGCCATGTTACTACCTATTCGTACAATGACAAGTTCATCACTGTAAGACTGGGTGTTATCCATATGGGACTGGGCCAGCTGCACCAAAGCTGGAATACAATTTCTTCCGTACTGTCATCATCCAAGTTGAGAACACCTATGTCCCGGGGATTCGGCTTATACCTCCGATTATGTTGCTCATCATCTGCGAAATAGACACAATTTTCCTTCAGTTGCGGATATTCTTCAGCATTAAGGTACTGTGCCTGATTACGCCCAAGAAACAACACGTGATGTTGCAAGCCATTTATTTCCACAAGCTCTTCTGCTGCCATATCAACTTTGTATAACAAGATTTTTCTAGTTTTAATAGCTATGAGGTCCTCAGAAGCCGCATCTATTAGTTCAATCTTTCTGCGGACTTGAAGCAGGCCGTCACACGGTGCCTGAACAACATACCACATGTCCCAGCTAATGTAATTGTCAATCTCATCTATAGTTATGTTCCTCGTGACGGTAGGGCCAGTGAGATCAAAAGTATCAATTCTTCCAGTTCCCGTGAATGCATACAATAGATCATGCATGTAGATGCATTGTTTATAGTCCCAACCAGGGGGCAGCAAGGTCCACTTACAATCTCCTATCCTTGCAAACGAAAGCTCACCTTCTGGACCGTGGATGAGAACCACAATGTAGCTTCCTGCCGACGGATCCGGAAAGATAAATGCCCTGACATAGAGGTGGTCACGAAGCTCGTCGGGAGCATAGGTTAACATTTTGGGATCAACGAGTTTGGAGCCTGAGTCCGCACAGTACACTTGCTCGGGCAATCCATACTTAACAATTGTACCTGCATCGTCAAAGATTGGCTCTACATAATCGATGGTGATCACCGGCGGGAGAGCAATCTGTTGACCAGTGATCGGATTGATAAGGTGGAGCTCAGACTTGTCATCTGCGGTAACTAGCCAACCATGCGAGGACCCAATCAGATACCTACTGCGGATGGGTGGATCCGGGAGAGTTAAATTGTAGACCCTCTTCTCCGCGAGGCTGTAGAGACAAGCGACGTTCTCACCAGCAGATTCAGAGGTGTAGAGGAGGCAAGGCGTCTGAGGCCGTTTGTACAGCTCAAGGTCGTTGCATAGGCTGGTATACGCAGAGCGCCAGGAGGTGCTGACAGAGGCCGCACGCATGAGGTCAGGTATCTCGAGGAGTGAAAATATTTCCATCAATACATCCTGCGGCAGCTCCGGCAATTTTCTCACCACAGTTTCAGTTTCCATCGGTGGTGAGACCTTTCTGAATTTCCCCAGTGAATCGGGAGAAAGAGCCAGCAACTTGGGCAAAATTCTCAGGCCCAAATGTGCAAAGCTCACTATCCTGGCTACGCTACAGCAGGCCTCCATTGGAGCAATTGCAAAACTCGGTCTTGTGGGAGAAGAATTGCTTCAGCGGCAAACCAACGGGACTTGGCTTGTTGTATATCTAATCTGAGAAGAAGCACACCGTCCTGGCTGCACTTATATAGAGAAGCCTGTCCAAGTCCAACCTCACCTGTGATCCGATTAGAAGAAGGGGTCCGGATCCAAGGAGGAAGCGGCCGTAGAAACTCTGGAAAAGATCCGGAATTCGAATCCGAGCAGTTACCTCAAGGGTTCCCGTCGATTGCTCCACTGCGCCTTGGAAGGATGCCGGCCACACCACCCAACGACCGGAGAGGCCCGGACAACCAGGAGTAATTGGCAGCGGAAGGTGGCTCCGCCGTCTTTGTCGCAGGCGGCGGCGCTGTGGGGGCAGGCAGGGCTGTGTCGCGTCTGCAGAGGTGAGCGGAGGGGCGTCTGTTTTGCACCCGAGCGCCGTGTGCTCATCGCGAGAGATCGATTCATTTTTAATATGTTTTCGGAAATATTATACGACGAACGTTCACCAGCAGATAAACCCAAATGAACGTCTTATCAGCCGTCACAAGGATCTTGACGCAAAGGTATTTTCTCTTCACGGTTTTCATTCGTCTTTCTATTCCTTCTTCGTTTTTATTTCCTTTCTTTTTCAATTTTCACTCTTTTTTTGCTTTTATTTCTTTCTTCATTTTTATTTATCTCTTTTTCGATTTTTCATCAGTTTTCTTTTGTTTTTCATGTTTCTTTGATTTTCTCGGTTTCCATTCTTTTTCATTGGTTTCTTTTGTTTTTCATTTTTTTTATTAGGTTTCTTCGGTTTCTCTTTTTCTTTTTATTCACATCGCTTGCTCTTATCGGTTTTCACTGCATTTCCATTCTTTTGCACTTGTTTATTTGTTTTTTATTTTTCTTTGATTTCCTTTTTTGTTTTCATTGTTTTTTCAGTTTCCTTTGTTTCTTTTGTGTTTTCATTCTACATTTTTGGTATAAATCAAGAATTGTTTGCCTAATATATGATTAATTTTTCAAATACAAGTTTAAAAAAAACTTATTACATGGTCAACAATTTTTCTACACAAATTTTTATCATTTATAAAATTCTTGATTAACAATGATTAAATACAAGATTTATATTTTTTGAGTACATGGTCAACATTTTTATATACAAATTTTAATATTTTTCAAATTTTCGATTACATTTTCAAATACCAGATTAATATTTTTTAATACATGATTAACATTTTTCTATACATATTTAATATTTTTTCTCAAATGCTTGATTTTTTTAGTACAATTTTAACATTTTTAATACATGATCAACAAATACAAGTTTATCATTTTTCAATACATGTCAACATTTTATTCAAAAGCTTCATTAACATTTTTAAATACATGATCAACCTTTTGCCACACTTTGTATATGTTTTGTATACATTTTCTCGTATACATGGTCAATATTTTTTCTATGCACATTTAACATTTTTCAATTACATGATTAATATTTTTCAAAACATGATGTAAAGTATATTTTTGTAAAATATATGTTTAGAATTTTTGGAAGTGTAATAAAAGTAAAATAATAATAAAATGTGAAAACAACAGAACATGGAATCAAGGTTGTGGCCTCGAGCAAACTTGGGTCGGCCCATCTCGAGCTACCTTACGCGAGGGTTCCCTCTGTCTCGCGTGATGCGAGACATAGCGGCGCCCGGAGGACAGCCCCCAATTGACCTACCCCGGATATTAGGGTCCAACTTTTTAGTAAATATTCTTTTTTTTCTTTTTTGAACTTTCTTTCATTGTTGAAGTTCTGCACAAGTGATCGATTCCTTTCATTTTTCTCCTTTTTTAACTTCCGTGTGATGCAGGCAGAAATCTATTCATTTCAATCGTGTGTTTTTGTTTGACTGGCATTACAATCATATTGAAGTGGGTCCTAATAAACTTGACGAGCTTGCTTGTAGTTTGAAGCCTAAACAGTCTAAGGCCCTGTGTTGTTTGGGCTTGAGCTTCGGTTTTTGAAGCATTTAGGCCCGTAAAAGCACAAACCCAAACAAACAAATATATGATGCTTGGCTTGATAGAAGCCACCTTCCCAATTGCACTGTGAAGCAAAAGACCTGGAGACAGGCTTTAATCGTCCCCCACCGGCTTCTCGCCCCTCCCACAAAACCTTGCTGCTCCACTTTGCAATAATTACAGCCAAAATGCCATCGATATATATAAGTGGTATCCCTTCGTGGAGACCCACCAGTTGGGCAGGCACCTGCGTGGCGGCGTACAGATCTTCGTGGAGACCCACCACTGCGCCACCTCAGCTGCTTGCCTGCCTACATGGCACCACAAGCACCGCTGGCCAGGGCGCGTGTCAACGCAAGAGGGAGCGGCGACGGACGGGACAGGGCTCGCCCCCGTCCCCGATAAAGCAAAGACACCTAGGCAAGGCGCATTAAATGCGCCTTGTCATGTAATGCGAGGGATAACCTCGCATTACTGTACCCTTTCCACCTCCTGTGTGCCACTGTGGCAACCCCTTTCCTATAAAAGGAGGCCCGAGGCGACCAGGAGGAGGATTCGGCTTTTTGGAGCTCCTCACGCCCCATAGCTAGCTCAAGAACACAGATATACAATCCACCAAAGCAGGAGTAGGGTTTTACGCATCCTCGCGGCCCGAACCTGGATAAAGGAACCGTGTGCTATCTGTTTGATCCGCTCTTCTCACAACCCCCGCGCCCCGCAACCGTAGTAGGGATTCTTGTGATCCCATAGGTGTCGTTTCCCACCGACATCTTTGGCGCGCCAGGTAGGGGGCAACGCAGTTGTGAGAATCGGCTTTGGCAGTTAGCCCGTCACTCCTTCATCTTCGTGACCCTTGAGGAAGAAAGGAAGCCAGGAGATCGGCACTCGAGCGATCGCGAACAGAAGCTAAGTTGCACTGAACCCTTGCTTATACTACCCTTTTTATTTGAGGTTGTTCCCCCCGGAGATGTCGCACCTTTGTATGAAAAACCTGCACGCCAGGGGGCTCCGACACGATCGGCAACGCCCTTGCCCTGTTTCGAGTCCGCTCAACAGCTCAAGCGGCTGCGTCGAGAGTGGCAGAGTAGCCTTCCATGATCGGCAATGCCCTCGGTTCTGACTCGAGTCAAGCTCGACAGATCGAGCGGCCGCGTTCGGAACGGGGAGGTGGCTCGTCCGGCAGCATGCATACCCGGCAGGCCATGGGGATCCGTCCCCAAGATGCCGCTTGGGGCTTCCGCGCCGGCGAGCCTTCCCGATCGACGTAGGGCTCACATACAAAGAGGAATTGAACGGGGAAATAACATGCATGAAAATTAAGAGTACTTCAGAGTTATATCACATCATCGTTGCGCTCCTAACTAAAGATAAAATTTGTCTTGATCGGGAACCCGCAGCGGCGAAGAAGAACGGGATGCCTAATCCCGGCGCTGGCCTTCCACCCTCTTGATTTCATCGATGCAGTCGGTGATGGGCTTGATGCGCTCCTTGAGCACCGCGGGGTCAGCACCCTCCGGCAAGCTCTTCATCGCGGCCGCGAAGTCAAGATCGGGATTCCAGTAGGCCACCTTGGTGAGGACCTTGGTGACGACCCTCCGACAAAGTCGCCGGGCCTCCTCGGCCAGCGTGGCCGTCCTGTTGGAGTGGAGATAGGCCAAGGCCCCGAGGACGCCCTCGAAGAACTGGGTCAGCTTGGCGTTGACGGTCCCGCTGCGCTCAGGGGCATACCTCATGTTTGGCATCCCCATGGTGGCCAATTGCGAGGTAACCCTGCCAGCGATGAACTCCAGATGGCTGATCCACCTGTTCTCGCCCGCCACGTATTCCTGGTGGGAGGCGGCCTCGTTCGCCCACAGCTGCTTCTCCTCCTCCAGGCTCTGGGTCAAGGTCTCCTCCCGAGCCCTGCTCTCCGACGACAGCTTCTTGAGATCCTCCAGCTTCAGCTTGAGGTCTCTGATGGAGTTATGCGCCTCGGAGAGCTCCCCGGCCCTGCTAATGACCGCTCTTTGCACCTCTGCCAAGGCGCGGTTGAGCGTGTTCTTCTCGCCAGACAGCTTGAGGGCCTGCTCCTTCAGCTCGTCCCGCTCCGCTTCCAGCTCCTTCACCTTGCCGGCGTGGGCCAGGGCTTGGGCATCGAGTGCCTCTTTGTGCCTCTACTCCAGCTCGCGGGTCCGCTGCGCGACAAGGGCCTCGAGCTACTCGTCCTTGCCACGGAGCATTGCGGCAAGCTTCGCCTCACGCGCGGAGAGATCCTCCTCCTGGGAGTCCAAGGCGGCTTGATGCTGGTTCCGGATGGCTTCGGCCGCGGCAGCCAAGTTCGCCGCCTTCTCCTGGGCCTTCTCAATGTCGGCCAACTTCATGGCGAGCTCCACATCACGATGGGCCAATTTCTCCTAGAAGGCCCTCTGCTCCTCGTGAGACTGGTGGAACCAAGTCTGCGTCTCGATGACGCGCGCTTTGAAGTCCGCCTCCGCGTTGTCCACCGCTGCCGCCCTGGACTTGACTTTGTCCAGGCGGGCGCGGTAGAGCACTTGGAGCTTCCGGAAATTGTCCCCCATGGCGCGGGAGAGCTGCTCTTCTGAAGAACCATCGCCGCCAACGCCCGGCGCGTCGACAACCTCGAACCTGGTGGCGACAAGTACCTCGCCATCAAAAACTTCTCCTTCGGCGGGCGCTCGGCTTGACGCCCCTGGGAGGTGGATGAAAAGATCATCCCCACCTTCAGATACCTACCGGGGCCCGAGGTGGAGGAGGAGGGAGGTTGATCATTCATCACCTCTTCCTCGGCGAAGGCCTTGCTGGCCCCCCGGCAGGACCACCGCTGGCGCCCTCGATGGAAGCCTCGTCGGTAGCCTTGGCGGCCCCCGCGGCAGCGTCCTCGGCCGCGCCCTTGGCGGCCTCATCAGCGGCGGCCTCGTCAGCATTCTTGGCGGCCTCCTCAGCGGCAATCTTGTCGGCCTCAGCCGCGGCCTCTTCGGCAATATCTC